AGAAAAGTAGTAAAAACAAAAGTATAAAAGATGTTTAGAAACCGGAAAACTGTGTGAATAGTGCATGAGTGGTGGGAACATAGTTGGAAAGAAGGGTAGAGAGCAGATTTTAAAAGAATGTTTCCTCAGAAAGCATTTTTTGAAAATAATTTTCACTTTCATTTTCACATGTTATCATATATATATATATATATATATATATATATATATATATATCCATAAACAGCTTCCACTGTTTTTTCCCTCAATGTGCATGTGTGTTTGTAAATTTCATTTAGATGGTATCATACTTGCAGGCATCATTATAAGCCATGTCTTTTCTTAATTTAATACTGTTTCTGAGAAATGTCCATGTTGTTGTATGTAGTTCTAGTTCATTTATTTTACCTACTCATTAGTACTCCACAACATACATCTATCCATTTTCCTGTTGGAGAACATTTAATATGTTTTCAAATGTTTCCATTTCAAAGGATGCTGCAATACTTAGGTATATTATTCCTTGGAATATATTTGAGAATTTCTCTCTTGCAAATACCTAGAGTTGGAATTGTATCTCACTTGTGGCATTTTCAGTTTTTTTAACTGAATCATGAGGTATTTTGTTACATATTCTTAATAATAATTGTATTATTTCCAATAATCTTTCTTAGATTAATTCTCTCTCTTTCACTCATTGCTCTTCAGCCTCCACAGAATCAATGCTATTGTTCCAAGTCTAATGAAAATCTTTGCCCACAAAAGTAATGGTACAAAGCATGGAAATTTATTTTTTAAGAGTAGCTGTAGAGAAGAGGACATTGCTTTATATGCCCCTCAAAAAATGGAGAGAAGAATAAAATAGAAATCCAAAGAAATGTATGAGGGATAAAGAAAGAAGATACTTCTTGGTTATCTTTCTAGTCCCTTCCTAGGGGTTGTGTACGTTAGAGGCTAAGAACCCTGGTTTAAGAAATCAACTATCTCTGCTTTTATCATGTTTCCTCATCGCACAATGATTAATTTTCTCTAGCTTATTTTTTTTTACTTTGTTTTTGTTTTAGACATTATTACAGGTGTCCCCTTCCCCCCGTCCACTTTGCTCACCTTCACCCAGAAACCCCACCTGCCTGGCCATCACTCCAAGGGCTATGCATATATGTTCTTTGGTCAATCTCTTCACCAAGAAGTAAAAAATAAATAAATAAAAATAAAAGAATGTTAAGAGGTCAAGTATCTCGAGGTTGGGGGCAGGTATTCTATATCTGTGTTCTTGAAAAAAATAAAGTTCTGAGGAATGGGCTGGATGAAAAAAACACTGTCACAGAAAGACACTTAGGGGGCTAATAAAAAGAAAATGATGAGGGTCTAAATTTATTTTTTAGTTTCCAAATAAAGCAAAATTCAACATGATATATTTTTGAAAAACATAATTTAAAAATTACCCCTCTGCCCCTCACCCCTTTCTCTCTCTCCCTCTCTCTCTCTGTCTTACTGTCTCACTGTCTGTGTCTCAGAAAGACACTGATTTCCCTAAGGTGCAAATCCTTTACTTCACACTTATGATGGAACTAGAGGCCTGATGCACAAAATTCGTGCAAGGGGCCCAGCCCTTGCAGCCCTGGCTTGCCTCAGCCTCACAGCCCCAGCTTCATCTGGAAGGTTGTCTGGAATGTTGTCCGGCCATCTGGTCTAATTAGCATATTACACTTTTATTATTATTATAGAACTAGAGGCCCGGTGCACAAAAATTTGTGCACTTAGGGGGAGGGTCCCTCAGCCTGGCCTGCGCCCATTTACAGTCCAGGACCCCTTGGGGGATGTCCACCTGTCAACTTAAGCCCACTCCCCGGGGGATCAGGCCTAAGCTTGCAGTCAGACATCCTTCTGGCAGCCAGGGAGCCCTCGGGGGATGTCTGACTAAAGGCTTAGGCCCCCAAGGGATTGGTCCTAAACCGTTAGTTGGACATTTACTTAGTGCTGCCACGGAGGTGGAAGAGGCTCCTGCCACCACTACTGTGATGGCCAGCCATAAGCCAGCTTCTGGCTGAGTGGCACTCCCCATATGGAAGTGCACTGACCACCAGGGGGCAGCTCCTGCATTGAGTGTCTGCCCCCTGGTGGCCAGTGCACATAATAGCAACCGGTCATTCTGCTGTTCAGTCAATGTGCATATTAGCCTTTTATTATTATTATATAGGATGTCCCTATTTCCCCCCTTTTGCCCCCTCTACCCAGCTCTTGCCCCCCACTTCTGTCTGGCCATCACCATACTGTTGTCTGTGTCCATGGGTTGTGCATATATTTTCTTTGGCTAATCCCTTCTTTAAATTCACTTCTTTAAATTTTTATTTTCAGATAAGTGCTTATAACTGCACTATTATATATTTTCTATTATATCATTTAGAATTAAGATATTTTTTAATTGAACCCTTGTAAATTTTAGCACAATTTAATAGATTATGCTAGAAGCAATTAGGAGATTTTTCATGTAATGCAGATACATTTCAATTAATATTTTATTAATTTTTAATTTTTTAATATTTTAATTTGAAATAATCTCATACATGTAAAAAAAACTATAGAATACTACATCATATTATATGTACCCTTCACCCAATTTCTTAGGTGTTAATAATTTAAACATAACCATTATACAACTAACAAAATTTGGAATATATTTTCTTATAATCTCTTTAATGTTACTTAATCCATTTACTTTGTGTTAATCTTCACCCAAGGATATATTTCCATTGAATTTTAGAGAGAGTGAAGGGAAAGGGAGAGACACATTGATTGGTTGCCTCCTGCACATGCTTTGATAGGGACTGGGGATCAAGCCAGCAACTGAGGTACATACCCTTGACTGGAATCGAACCTGGGACCCTTCAGTCCATGGGCTAATGCTCTATCCACTGAGCAAAACAGGCTGCAGCTTAATTCATTTACTTTTAATCTATATGTGTCTTTATATTTAAAGTGGGTTTTGTTTTTTATTCACCCTCATAATCTGTTTTTTAATTGGTGTATTTATGCCACTGACTTTCAGAGTGCTTACTGATAGAGTTACTGCCATATCAAGCGGCTTCTGGGGCTTCTGAGGTGGGGCTGCCTTGTCGCCCTGGGACCTGCCAATTGGGGTCCCGGGGAGGCAAGGCGGGGCCGGGCCAGCCCTGGATGGCGACGCGCTGGCGGCTCGCTGGCGGCTGGCGCTGTCCTTCCCTGCCTACAGAATGCAAATTAGCCACCATCTTTGTTGGCAGTTAATTTGCATATCGTGCTGATTAGCCAATGGAAGGCGTAGCGAAGGTACGGTCAATTACCGTGTTTGTTTATTATTAGATAGGATCCCTGAGAAAGAAAGCTTTTGAATCCTTAGCACTCTTTATTTTCTCAGATATTTCAACTGCTGCTTAGTCTTTAATAAGAGAAAACCCACCAAACTCAAAATTCCTAGCACAAGGCTTTAGAGAGTTTACAGAGGGTTTTCATTAGATTATATACATCTTACCATCCAGTGCCACATTCTCTCCAGTAATCCATTAAGTGAGAATAATTATTCTTGCAGTGTATTTGAGAGTTCCATAGGGTAAAAGCCACAGCATATGGTTTTGACTCTGATCACTCCCCTTAATAATAATAAAAAGTTTAAGTTAAAGTGGTGTATGGTATAAATTTATAAGTAATATTATGCCTGGGGTATATAAAAATTTTATCATTTATGGCTAAAAATTGCAAAAAGACCCTTTCCACAAATTTTATTTTTCCATAAGAAGGAGCGGTAATTTTACAGTATAATAAAATGGTTATATTATGTTTTTCCAAATCTATCTTAATATGTCTTATATTAGAATGAGCTGAAAGCAATTTCAACTCTTCATTAACATGCATTCTGAAGTATGTCATAAACATAATCCTAAAAATGCTTCTCATACATTAAATAGAATATATTGCCCTACAGCGATGATTACTAACTTGTTTTGGCATAGAAAAGAATAATTACTTGTGTCCTTTTGCATACAAAAAACTGAGCAAGTCTTCAGGGAACAATTGTTTATATTTTACCTGTTTATGTGTTTATTAAACAAATATTCACTGAAGGCATAGTTGTTAGCAGAGCTCTAACTTCATAATGCTTATATTCTTATTAATTATTAATATACTCTGTAGTATTAAGGTTCTTTAATACATTTCTACTCCAGGGTTTTTCCAACTTGGCACATTGACAGCAACCAAAAATGTTTCCACACGTTAACAAATAGCCCCTTGGGAATAAAATCTACCCCCTATAGAGAATCATTGCTCTGTTAAAACAAGAAGAGAAAACAAAACAAAAAAAAGCCCATCCTGCATGGCTCAGTGGTTGAACGTTGACCTATAAACCAGGAGGTCATGGTTCAATTCCCGGTCAGGGAACATGCCGGGGTTATGGGCTAGATCCCCAGTGTGGGGCATGCCAGAGGAAGACAATCAATGATTCTCTCTCATCATTGATGTTTCTATCTCTCTCTCCCTCTTCCTTCCTCTCTGATAACATTAAAAATGTCTTTTTAAAAAATAAGAAAATGTTGTGCTCTTCACTCTAAATAATGCTATTTAATATATATATGACTATTTCTAAATGATGCCCCAAATTTAGGTAAAACTTAAAATAAAAAATTCCATATTGTTATTTCATAACATGTCAATGTTATTTAATAGCTTGATATTTTGTGTTATATAGTCCAAGCAATTAGATGACTGAATATATATTCAATTTTCATGTGGAAGTGTAGTAGGTTTTCTTTTTAAATGTAATTTTTCATACTCTAATTTTAAGAAATGAAAGAGTTAACTTCTCTTCTAAAATCTCATAGTAGCTCAATAGTTATAAATCAAGGTGTGTATTAAGTGACTATGAATAGCTATGTAATGCAAAATGGTTACCCTGCAACATTAAAATTGCATTATTGCTCCTGGTTAAAGACTGAGACTTCAGGACTCTCTTCCAACATCGCCCAAACCACTCTCCAAACAAGACCATGGCAACGAATCATAGACAAAACTGCACCAAGTTCACAGAAGATCAGTTGAAAATCTTCATCAAAGCATTCAGCCAAAAACCTCACCCAGGTTATACTACCAAACAAAAGCTTGTTTTAGAAATAACACCTGAACAGTCCAGAATCCATGTTTGGTTTCAGAATGGAAGAGTTAGCCATCGCGTCTGGAAAAGTTCAGAACCTGAGGAGTACTTAGAAGCAAGGCGAGACCAAGATCACCCTGAAGAGAGGAATCAAAGCAGGAAGATGCCGGTGTCATGCCAACTTCCTCTCCATCACACATCCTTACCACGGCACGTAGGAAGAACCCTTACACTGACATCGATTCCAGAATCAAGAGTCCAAATTTGGTTTTAAAATCGAAAATCTAGATTCCATGTCCAGTGTAAAAGAGAACCCGATGAGCCCTTAATACAGAAACAAGTTTAGGAGCAAGATCTCCGAGATGAGAGAGTTCAAGGTATAGAAACTACACAAAATGGTGCCAATCTCACCAGCAATTGTCTTATTTCTTTGAAGCCAAAACAGGATGAACTGAAAGACCAATTCAGTGTAGTTGACATTGAAAGACTGGGCTCCAAATCTCTCTCTTCTTGGCAACCTACTCTTCTAAACATACCTTCAGCCTTCTGTGATGGTAAACAGGACTTCAGGGGGCAGAGAGGTACAAGGCACCACACAGCCCTACAGGCAGAGCCTGGCTCCCAGTCCAGCAGATGTCAAGGATGATGAAAATAAAGTCATTCATATCATTTTTAAGTCATCACAGTATTGACTGATTCAGGAAAAAATCAATGGATGTGTAATATCATGATTTAGAAGAAATATATATTTGCTGTTCATCTACAGAGCTTCAAAAGCCATGGGAACTTCCTGTGATGGTAGCAGTAAAGTGTCCCTTGTTATAAAATACTGTCATTTGCGACAGTGTGGATGGATCTTGAGAATATCATGCTAAGTGGAATACATCAGACAGAAAAAGAACCATATGATTTCACTCATATGTGCAATATAAAACTGAAAGCAACAAGTGAACAAACAAGAAAAGAAACAACCCAAAACTCATAGACACAGACAATAGCATGGCAGTTACCAGAGGGAAGGGGATTGGAGAGGTATTAAAAGGTAAAGAGGATCAAATATATGGCTACAGAATAAGATTTGACTTGGGGTGGGGAGTACACAGTGCAATATACAGATAATGTACCATAGAAATGTGCACTTGAAACGTATATAATCTTATTAACCAGTGTCACCAAAATTTTTTTTAATTGCACTAGCTTTTGAGGCAGTATGTGCTCTGGCCTGGCTTTCCTCTCTGATACCTTTTCACACCTCCTTGTCTCCTCCTACTGGAGTCTAGCCATGGGTACCTTTATTTCAGTTCCTCAAGTACGTCAAACTTATTCTCTGAAGGCCTCTGCATCCTCCCAGGACCTGGAATTTTCTTGTCACATAACTTGTGTCATGTTGTCATTCAGATCTCAACTAAAAGTCATCTCCATGGGGAAGTGTATCATTTTCTAATTTTTTAAAATGTGTGTATTTATGATCCATTTCACATCACTAGACACGAAGCTTCATGAGAACAGGTTCATGGCTGCCTTCTTTACTGCTACATCCACAGGATCTAGCATAATGCTTCCTCATGATTGGTGCTCAATAAATATTTATTGTAGGGGAGAGTGAATGAATGAAAGCCATGAGTGCATAGGGCCATTTCTTAATACCTAATTCCTTTGTGGGTGGAGAGGTACAGAGTGGTTGCTGATTCACTTCATGTGCCTAGGAAGATTTTTAAAACATAGCAAGGTACTTCACATTTCTATTATTCATTTCTGGCTTGTTTGACCCACAAAATATAGAAAGAAATACAACAATTTTTGAGCCAATTATTTGTATTTTCCAATTATTGGAGTTTAACCAACAGTCCTAGAAATTTACACCCAAAAACATTAGATCTATTTATAAAGTGCAGTATTTTGATAATGATTGGTCAAAAACCAAAGGCATGGATGCAGGAATTGGTCAAATAATTAAAATAAATTATTTGCCCAATCCGAAACCCACAAGTGAAGGACTAATTTTTCATTGGTAGAATACCATAACTCTTATTACTTAAAGAGAAACGTGTCTTATTACAAAACCTATAACTCACTTCCTTTGTGACTTCAACTGCAGAGAGCTTTATTTCAGCACATGTATACAACACCCTCTAATTCACAAATCCTGTTCAATTTAATAGAAAAGAAGGTTTTAAACTGATCGTTATAAATGGGTGCTCTTTCTTCAAATACCTCTTGTTTGATGGTCTTAAATTGGAGTTACCATAAAGACTGAAACCATGATATGATAGGATCTTTGTTCTTACAGCCCACGACTGTTTCATTTAACTACATAGCTTTGACACATTATTTTATTGCTTTGAAGCAAGGAGGGCAAATAGAGCCCTTAAAAAAAAAACACTAGAATTTAACTTGTAGTAATAAAGTAAGGAAGAAATTTTTTGCATTATTTCGTTCGTTAGGCCTGTCTATCCTCACGTCATCACATTTTCAGGAAGAAGGATTGGCTGAGAACTGGCTCCAACTAAATCCTTTTTAGTGCTGTTTCACTGAAGGACTGGAAAGTGACAATTCCTATCAAGCAGCTGGTTTTTCCTACCCTTGCCAGACTCCAGGGCAATCATGTTAAATTGAGAAAAACCACAACTCAATCGTGGGTCTTCCACTTAATTTTTCATACAAATTTAAGGTCAGACTGTGGTCTAACACCCAGTTAGGGACTTGCAACACATAAAAAGTTACACACCATGCAGCTCCTCTGAATACCATCACCATATTACCTGACAAGAGAATGCTTTTAGGATGTAGTAGAGATGGAATTCGCTACAATGGTGCATTTTGAAGGCTGGGTTAACTCTCATAAAAATTTAGTTTTTATTTCCTATGGATTGTAAAGTATTGTCAGTAAGCAAAGTTAAAAAGCTTGAATTAACTTTTGCAAAAGCATACATTTCTTGTAGAAACATCTACAATCAAATCATCTATTATAGATAAAGTTTTTACCTATGGGTATTTATAAGTAAACTAGTGACCTGGTGCACAGATTTGTGCACATTGAAAGGAAATTAATTAGAAGGTGGCTGGTGGGGTGGGACTGGGCAAGATGGGCTGGACACACCCTGGAGCCAACCTCCAGCGGTCCCTCCTTGGCCTGGCCTGTGGGGATCGGACCAAAATTGGCTCTCCCACATCCCCCGAGGGGTCCCAGAAGGTGAGAGAGCACTCTGCTGTACAGGGTGTGGAATGCAAATGCAAGTGTTCAGTAAGCCAGATTCGGGGCCGACAGTGCCCCAGCAACAACATAACCCACAGCCAAAAGTGGAATCGTGTGGCCCCACAGGAATTGGGCTCCCTCCTCTCTGGTTTTGGGGTGCAGCACCTGAGAACCGCCGCTGTCAAGTCACTGCAGCTTGGCAGCTCCTGCATTGAGTGTCTGCCCCTTGGTGTTCAGTGCATGTTATAGTGACCAGTCGGATGGTCGGACACTTAGCACATTAGCCTTTTATATCTATACTAGAGGCCCAGTGCATGAATTTGTGCACAGGTGGGGTCTGGCTGGCATTGGTGGGTCAGGACCAGGCCTGTCAGGAGAAGGAGATGGCGGGAGGTTGGCTGGCTGGCCCGCCCCAATCGGGGCCCTAGTAAGGCTGGGCCAGCTGGGGAGAGGTTCCGCAGGCAATTGGCCAGCTGGTCCTGCTCCTGATTGTGGGCGGTGGGCCGGCTGGCCCTGCCCCCAAATAGGGTGGGAGGGCCGATCGGGGGCCAGCAGACTGGGGGAGGAGCCATGAGTGGTTGGCCAGCCAGCCCTGTCCCTGATTGGGGTGGGGGGGCCGATCAGGGTTAGAGCTGGCTGGGGAAGGGGCTTGTGGGCCAATTGTGGGGTAGGGGTGTGGGCAGTGGGCGGGCAGCCCTGCACCTGAAGGGGGTGGGAGGCCATTTGGGGGCAGCGTCTTGGGGGAGAGACAATGGGTGGTTGGCCAG